ACAATCACGTCGCTCTCTTATGCGTGGGAATACTTCGGAACAGATTTCCAAAATTCTAATAACTTGGAGCTGATTTGCTGGTATTTTATTTACAGTCTTATGTCCAACAACAAAAAAGAACTAGGTGGGCCAAATAAAACCACCCACGGGCCAAATTCGGCCCCCGGGCCGCCAGTTGGGGAACCCTGCCCTATAGGGTCCAGAATTTTCCCACCACTCTGGGACCTATGGTGCCACCATTCTGCTCAAAGTTGTCAGTTATCGTCAGGTATGTGGATGATCAGGGCTTTATTCAGGCACGTTTCTTGGGCTACTTTGACGTGTCAAGTGGGCGAGATGCGCATTCTGTGTTTGACTTTGTGAATTCTGATATGTCTGAGTTTAACTTCATGGAGAAACGTGTTGCACAAACCTACTGCACGGAAAGCGGTACTGGCAAGCGATACCAGAACGCCAAGTCTAGGTCCAAATGGCTCCTTAACAGCTTCTACCCCCAAGCCATAAGACTGCTAAACAGTTAATCAAATGGCTACCCAGACTATTTGCATTGACCCCCTTTTTTACGCTGCTGCTACTCGCTGTTTATTATCTATGCATAGTCACTTTACCCCTACCTACATGTACTGTATACTGAACAGAAATATAAACGCAACATGCAACGTGTAGGTCCCATGTTTCATGACCTGAAATAAAAGATCCCAGAAATGTTCCATATGCACAAAAAGCTTATTTCTCTCAAATTTTGTGCACAAATTTGTAAACATCCTTGTTAGTGAGCATTTCTCCTTTGCCAAGTTAATCCATCCACCTGACAGGTGTGGCATATCAAGAAGCTGATTAAACAGCACGATCATTACAATTACAAGCCTATCTAAAATGTGCAGTTTTGTCACAACACAATGCCACAGATGTTTCAAGTTTTGAGGGAGCGTGCAATTAGCATGCTGACTGCAGGAATGTCCACCAGAGCTGTTGCCAATTTAATGTTAATTTCTCTACCATAAGCCGTTTTAGAGAATTTGGCAGTACGTCCAACCGGCCTCACAACCACAGACCATGTGTAACCACGCCAGTCCAGGACCTCCACATAAAATAAAATTTGATTTTACCTCCAAATCCGGCTTCTTCACCTGCGGGATCGTCTGAGATCAGCCACCCGGACAGCTGATGAAACTGAGGAGTATTTCTGTCTCTAATAAAGCCCTTTTGTGGGGAAAAACTCATTCTGACTGGCTGGGCCTGGCTCCCCAGTGGGTGGGCCTGGCCCCCAAGTGGGTGGGCCTATGTCCTCCCAGGCCCACCCCATGGCTGCTCCCCTGCCCATTCATGTGAAATCGATAGATTAGGGCCTGATGAATTTATTTCAATTGACTGATTTCCTTATATGAACTGTAGCTCAGTAAAATCATTGAAATCGTTGCGTTTATATTTTTGTTTAGTATACATGTTACCTTAATTACCTCAACTAACCTGTGTTACAGCCTGAATTCAAAATTGATTAAACAGATTTTTGCAAATGTATTGAAAATGAAAAACATAAATATCTAATTTACATACATAATCACACCCCTGAGTCAATAGATGTTAGAATCAGCTTTGGCAGTGATTACAGCTGTGAGTCTTTCTTGGTAAGTCTCTAAGAGCTTTGCACACCTGGATTGTACACATTTTGCGCATTATTCTTTTAAAAATTCTTCAAGCTCTGTCAAGTTGGTTGTTGAACATTGCTAGACAGCCATTTTCAAGCCTTGCCAATGATTTTCAAGCCATTTTAAGTGAAAACTTTAACTAGGCCACTCAGGAACATTCAATGTCGTCGTGGTAAGCAACTCCAGCGCATATTTGGTCTTGTGTTTTAGGTTATTGTCCTGCTGAAAGGTGAATTTGTCTCCCAGTGTCTGTTGGAAAGCAGACTGAGCCAGGTTTTCCTCTAGGAATTTGCCTGTACTCTATTCTGTTTATTTTTATCCTAAAAAACTCCCTAGTCCTTGCCGATGACAAGCATACCCATAACATGATGCAGACATCACCATGCTTGAAAATATGAAGAGTGGTACACAATGATGTGTTGTGTTGGATTTGCCCCAAACATAACGCTTTGTATTCAGAACATAAAGTGCATTTCTTTGCGACATTCTTTGCAGTTTTACTTTAGTGTCTTATTGCAAATAGGATGCATGTTTTGGAATCTTTTTTATTCTGTACAGGCTTCCTTCTTTTCACTCTGTCATTTAGGTTAGTATTGTGGAGTAACTACAATGTTGTTGATACATCCTCAGATTTCTCCTATCACAGCCATTAAACTCTGTAACTGTTTTAAAGTCACCATGGCCTCATGGTGAGCGGTTTCTTTCCTCTCCGGCAACTGAGTTAGGAAGGACGCGTGTATCTTTGTAGTGACTGAGTGTATTGATACACCATCCAAAGTGTAATTAATAACTTCACCATGCTCAAAGGGATATTTAATGTCTTTCCCCATCTACCATTAGGTGCCCTTCTTTGCGAGGCATTGGAAAACCTCCCTGGTATTTGTGGTTGAATCTGTGTTTGAAATTCACTTCTCGACTGAGGGACCTTACAGATAATTGTATATGTGGGGTACAGAGATGAGGTAGTCATTCAAAAATCATGTTACACACTATTATTGCACACAGAGTGAGTCCATACAACTTATTATGTGACCGGTTAAGCAAATGTTTACTCCTGAACTTATTTAGGCTTGCCATAACAAAGGGGATACATACTTATTGACTCAAGACATTTCAGCTTTCATTTTTTATTAATTTGTAAACATTTCTAAAAACATAATTCCACTTTGACATTATGGGGTATTGTGTGTAGGCCAGTGACACAAAATCTTAATTTAATCCATTTAAAATTCAGGCTGTAACACAACAAAATGTGGAAAAATTAGGAATTATGGAAAAAATAATGAGTATGAATACTTTTTGTCTGCTGCTTCTCCTTAATTTTTTAAGAAATTCATTTGTTCATAACTGCTTAACTATTGTCTTTCTCTCTCTTTGAGTCAACTACTCACCACATTTTATGCACTGCAGTGCTATCTAGCTGTGCCTTATGCTTTACTAGATTAATTCTCTGATCCTTTGATTGGGTGGACAACATGTCAGTTCATGCTGCAAGAGCTCTGATTCCTCCGGAAGTCGTCATAATTACTGGGTAAGTCTATGGAAGGGGGTGTGAACCATTAGCCTCCTAGGTTTTTTAATTGAAGTCAATGTACCCAGAAGAGGACGGAAAATAGCTGTCCTCCGGCTACACCATGGTGCTACCCTAGAGAGTACTGTTGAGGATACTGTAGGATACTGTAGACCTTCATTGCAAAACAGTGTGTTCTAATCAGTTATTTGGTGACGTGAATATATTTAGTATTGTTTGCAGGGTAGGTAGGACATGTTGCATTTTTGCAGCCGGGGGTCTCAAAGGGTTTTAATGTGAACGTTACTGAAGTGAAAGTGAAATAATAATGTAACTTATTACATACCTGACTGTTGGAGAGGGCCTGCTGATGATAAGGTGAGAACCTGTTCTTCGCAGGGTCTTCTGAGGTGGGGCTGAGGGGTTTGGGGTCTGACATGGAGCGCTGCACACTCTTGATGGGCCTGGGGAGGCTCTGATGACGCTGAGGGGACTCGGCAGTGAAGGCTTTCTGCTGGGGTGTGACGTGCGCCTTGTTGAGTTTCTCCTGGGAGGTGAAAGTGGTCTCTAGCATCCGATGGGGTGACAGCGGGGACACGGGGGAGTACAGCACCTGAGGAGACTTGGGAGGCTGGCGAGACGGGGAGTCGTTCTGCTGCTGGCCTTGGTAGCCGATATCCAGAGGGTCGGGTTTCCTCCTCTCGAACTTGGCCACCCCTTGGGGAGGAGATGGGGTGGAGCCCACCATCTGCATAGTGGTGGAGTATGGGCTGATGGTGGTGGGGACGCTGAGCTGAGGGGCCACCACCCCCTGAGACTGGACCTCTGGTTCTGTCTGACAGGCTAAGCTCTCACCCTTATGGGTCCTCTCTGGAGCAGAGATGTAGTGTAGTAGCTCCACCTTGTTTGTCTCAGCCGCAGTGATGTGGATTGCAGGTGAGACCCTGCCCAACTGGTCTGTCTCAGTCTGGCATGAGGAGTCGTTGGTGGTCTGAATGGCTATGCTGGAGGAGGACACTTTGGAGGTTCCTTCGGATTTGACCTCCGCGCTAGAGTCTGAGTGCTTGGAGAAGCGCGATCTCCTGCGCCTAACCGGTTGCTCCCACTCTGCCTGATCCTCGTCGTCTGTCTGGACACTGCAGTCGGCGATGCGCCTGGTTCTCCTGCCCCTGCGGTTCATATACCTGTCCTCGCCATCTTCATCATCCGTCTGCACGCAGCTATCTGCAATCCTCCTCACCGGCTCCTCCTCTGCTCCGTCCCTAAGACGAGGCATAGAGTTCCGCTTCTTCATGACCCTGGACTCCGCCTGATCCTCACTGTTTCTGAAGGACATCTCAGAGGTAGAGCTAGGTATAGGCCTTGGGGTCACCACTGTTTGGACCACCTGCCCTTCCATGTGGGGTTGCCAGAACTGCACACTTTGGCCGTCCTGTTGAATCACCCTACCACTCTGGTCACAGATGATGAAACCTTGAGGGGTTCCTCCTCCAACTACTACCCCTTGAGCGGTAGTGGCTGCAGCAGCTGCTGCTGCTGCCGATGCAGCAGCTGCCTCGGCTGCTGTGGCTGCAGCTGCTGCCTCCACCACTGCAGTCTTCTGCCTCTTCTGCTCCTCCAACTGCTGCTGGAGTTGCTGCTGCAGCGACTGGATCTGGTCCAGTTGCATCCTCTGCTGGGCTAGCTGTTCCCTCTGCATGACCAGCTGGGTCTCCCTCTCTGATTGCTGCTGATGCAGGACTTGCTGTTTGATGGTCTGCAGCTCTTGAATCTCACGCTGCACCAGCATTTGTTCTTTCTCCCTGTGCCTCTGGAGCTCCATGCGGTCTCTCTCCAGTTCCTCATGCAGGCGCATCTGCCGAAGTTTCTCCAGCTCCACGCGCTCTCGGTCCATCTGCAGCATCTGCTCTTGCTGCTGTCTCAAACGCTCTTCTACCTTTTCTAGCTCTGGGTCTACGGAAGTAACGATGGTAGTGCTGGCTGCTGCAGCCTGGGGAGTGGGCTGGGGCTGCGGCTGAGTCTGGGGCTGCACTAGAGCCTGGGGCTGAGGCTGAGTTATCAGCTGGGACTGGGTTTGAGTCAGGGACAAAGCTTGAGTTTGAGTTGGTATTTGTTGTTGCATTTGAGTTTGCATTTGTTGCTGTATTTGGGACTGCATTTGTTGATGGATTTGGGACTGCATTTGTTGATGGATTTGGGCTTGCATTTGAGTTTGAGTATGGGGGTGTGTCGTAACTTTCTGCACTTGGATTTGAGTTTGGGGGGTTTGTTGGTTTGCAGACTGAATTGGCATTGCAGTAGTTGGTACACTGTGTCCACCTATATGAGAAACCGGGTGGGCCGGTGGTAAGGTTGCAGCTGTGTGCACAGCGACAGTTGCAGAAGGCTTCCCAAGGTAGACAGGAGCTTCCTGGGTGGAGGTGCTTGTGTCAGGTCCATTTCCAGGAACGCCAGCTGTTGTAGGAAACTGGTTGGGAGGAGCGTAACCGTAAGGTCCCTGTGTAGACAGAGGCATCCTTGGGGTCGCATGTGGCAACCTGGTGAGGCTAGCCAGTGGTACAGCAGTTACACATGCAGGGTAAGGTCGGTATATTCCTCGTGGCATGGGTCGCAGAACAGAGGAAGGCTGGGTGGTTATTGGCAAGGTAGAGGCTATTGGGCTGTTGATGGTGGAGTATGTCATCCCATCAGCTCCTCTCATTGCAGACGGATATAAGGCCCGTATGCTTGCTTGTCTGGCATTGATCAGATTGGTTAGGGCTTGGCCGTGTGCAGTGGGCCTACCATCGGGGCCATAGAGTAGGTTGGCTCGGATTGATGCTAAGCTTTGCTGTAGGTTGAGCCTGGCTTCAGGGCCTGCTCCTCTTCCAGCACCATACTGCATAATCTCAGGGTTGCTGTACCGTTGACCGAACTGGTCCATAGAGTTCAGAGCTGCACACATTCGGCTGATCTCTCTGGCAGTGGTGGCACTATACTGTGCCAGGTTGGCGTCCGTTAAACCTGCCTGACCATAGCCGTAGTCTTGACTGATGTTGGACATGGAGCCGTACCTTCGCAGGGGCAAGGGAGGACCTGCAATATCTCCTTCATGACGTAAGTCTGTGTAGGATCCGTACTGCGCACCAATGCCAAGATATCCTCGTTCGTAGGTCTGATTCATGGTGCTCAGATCCACGGCCAGATCCCCAGGGTCAGTCCTCTGATAGTACTGAAGCCCTGCATTAGACAGGTTGGTGTCAGACATGGAAGGTTGAAGCCTCCCTCCAGTGGGTATAGGGTATGGAGGGACTCCCTGCATTGGTTTATGCTCCTCTGTTGCTCCTTGCATGCTTGCTGTCTGGTAGCCATTATTTCCAGGTTGTTGTTGTTGTTGATGTTGTTGTTGATGTTGCTGCAACTGTTGTTGTTGCTGCTGCTGCTGCCGCTGCTGCTGTTGTTGTTGTTGCTGCTGCTGCTGGCTTACACTGTAATGTGAGGCAGGGGGTGGAAGGGTGACTTGGGAAGGTTCAGTGGTAAGATTCTTCTGAGTTAAGTTCCCTGCACAACTACTAGCAAAGGGTAACTTGTAAACGACGTCACAACAAGCCACTTGGTTCTCTGGTTTCTGTATCTGTCCACCAGTGAGATCCAGGACCTGGGGAGGGGGAGGAGGCTCTTTGACCAGCTGAGTCACTGTGGCCGCCTGAGATGCATTGCTGTCTTCCAGTTGGACCATCATGACATGGGGCTTTCCCGTGGACAGGTTCATGACCGTGGGCTTGTTCTTCAACTCCAAAGCAAGCCCACCCTGACAATAGTCATGTTGAGTGTTAGAGGAAAGTGGAGCCACAGATGCTGGCTGGGGTGGTAGGGGAGATACTCTAGGAATTGCACTGACACTGACCACAGTCTGGGCACTGCCAATGCTCGTCTGGCTCACCACCAGGTCTTTCTTCAGCAACAGCGGCTGGACCTGGTTTGCTAGGTTATAGCGAGCAAAAGAGGATTGCTGGTGCTGCTGGAGCTGCTGCTCGAGGAGTTGTTGTTGCTGTAGGAGCTTTTGCTGCTGCATCTGGAGCTGCTGCTGCTGGATGCCCAGATCCTCCAGACATGCATCAATCTTAGGAATGGACGGGTCAGTGATGAGTGTCTTAGTTTGTGTAAGACACATTGCTGATCCAACGCCTTGCCCCAGATCCATACGGTTCTGCAGGGGATCTCCGTAAACCACTGGATGCCCCTTCGGCTGAGATATAAACATGGAGGCTGCCACGGTGACTGTTGTTGGAGTGGACGCCGACACATGCGGCTGCTCTTGTGCATTCAGGTTCATGGCTGCATTCAGGTCCTGCACCGCTGTGTGACGGCTGGGTGGTTGTTCAGCATCGAGAGAATACCTCCTTGTATCAGTTGCCAGAGACGTTAGATCCATGCCCTGGTCTGTCATGATGATTGGGGTGGGCTTCATTGGTGCTCTCAGGTCCACCACAGATGCAGGTCCACTCGGATGCATTTGAATTTGGCCATGCTCCACAACCCTAGAGGTTCCTGGAACGTTGGAGATTCTACATAGGGAGATATTTTCCATTGACATTGACCCACGACTGTATGTGGTAGCTGTGGTTGTCATTGTCATGCTCATACCAATATTAACCCTCTCTGCAGTTTTGGGCCTCTGTAAACCGTGTTGAGGGGTTTGGTGCAGTGGGTGCATTTGTGGGGACGTTGGGGAGCTCGTTGAAGGAATCTTTTGCTGATACATGGGCTGACGGATACCCTGTGTTGGCGAGGACAGGGGCGAAGTGGAGGAGTTTACAGTTAGAGGCTTGGCAGAACTGGTGGTGGTCTCAGAGCCCAGCGTTATCACCATTACTGGTGAGTCGGAGGAGGACTGTTGTCTTGCAAGGCGTGGCGACGCTGATTTTTGTGGCGTTTGGACTCCATGTTGTTGTGGCAGTACTGGGGAGGTTGGGCCACTAGCGCCAGGCTGAGAATGTCGTGGGGACCCCCCAGGCCCTGTGGGTCGTGGGGACACCCCAGGCCCTGTGAGTCGTGGGGACACCCCAGGCCCTGTGGGTCGTGGGGACACCCCAGGCCCTGTGGGTCGTGGGGACACCCCAGGCCCTGTGGGTCGTGGGGACGGGGAATGAGTGGGGCTCTGTGAGGGAGAGGGAGCAGGGGAAACAGGAGGACTGGGGCCTTTGAAATAGGAGAAGAGGGAGGATGCGATGGAGGGTACTCCAGGGTCAGGAGGAGGCACCCCCTGTGCTGGTCCCTGACCCTGTGCAGGTCTTCCAGCCGCCGGGGGGATAACACCCCCTATTTTGGCAGTCTGCGTCCTCATCCTGTCTTGGGTTTCTTTCGATAGATGCTGTGTCACACTGATTCCTTGGGGGATCCCTCTTCCAGACCCACGTGGGTCGTTTGAGGAGAAGGAAACAGGTGCAGAGATCTGTGTGGGGCTGGAGCCAGGTGTTAGAGAAGTTCCAGTGTCTAGATGTTGTTTATTGCCAGGCTGAGGTGACCCAGCCGGTTGCCTTTGTGGACTTCCTTGTTGTTGGCCTGGCCTTCCTGGCTGTCCCTGCTGCTGCTGCTGCAACATCTCTGCTTTCCTCATCATTTCTTCATAAACCTCCTCTGCACTTTTCAGTGTCTTGTCCGATGGTGAAATGGCAGTAGGTTTTTCAGTGGGGGAGTAGAGAGACATGAACGTGGGTAGGTTGTGGTGGCTTCCTGACTTGTAGAGCTTGGAGCCCATCATTTCAAAGCCCTCTGCCTCTGAATCCATGGAAGGGGAGTACTCTGAGCAGGAGGATCTGTGGAGCTCCTCCATCTCTGCTGCCTGTCTCAGCTCCTCCGTTGGGGATGCATCCTCGATGGGAGAGAGGTTGCTGGGGGGAGTCTTGGATCTCTCTCTACGTCTCTGGGCCCTCAGCTCCTCTTTGTCTCTCTTAGTTTTCCTGGCAGTGCTGCGGATCCTCTGCAGGTCCAGATCTCTCATCTTCTCCTGCTCTCTCAGAAGCTCCTCTTCCTCCCTCAGCTCGTCTTCCTCAGATGAGTCCTCGATGGTGGGCAGGAGTGGGCCATGGGAGCGGTGGCGAGCCTTTCTCTGCTGCTTGGCCTCTTCCAGTCTCTGCCTGCGGCTGGGGCTGCTGTCACTGTCGTCCTCCATGGAGGACACAGAGGTAGGGGACGTGCCGGAGGTGTAGCTGGGAGTGGTGGCAGGGAGGGTGGATGAATACTCCCCCCTCGACCGCTCCTCTGGTGATCCAGTCAGGCTCTCCATCTCCAGCTCTGGCTCTCTGAGGTCATGCTCTGAGTTGTTCAGCTCGATGGTCTTAAACCGCCGCAGCCCTCCTTGGGAAGCAATCATACCTTCGTCGTCTTCACCGTCAGCGCACTTGGTGTCTTCTTCAAAACTACTGGAATGGTGGGTGAGGCTGCGTCGTTTCTCCTTCCCCAAATCCTTTTTGTTTTTTGTTTTCTGGTAGCCGTACCCTTCCTCCTCCTCCTCCTCCATCTCGTCCTCGTCAGCACTCATTTCCATGATCTGCCTCCTCATGAACTCCTCATCTGTAATTTCTTTATGGGACTTCTTCTGCCTGGGCGGTAAGGGGGACAGACCACTCTCGCTGCTGTCCTCCACATAGTCGTGGCGCAGCTTGGAGCTGAGATCATCCGACACCTCCCCATCCGAGTTGTACTCCTCGTCCTGGCCAATGGACAGAGAGTGAGGCCTCCCCCGGCCCTGGTCTGTAGCGGTCTTGGACTTTGACTCTAGCAGCGGCCGCATGGAGCTCTCCAGCTTGGTTATCTCAGAGGGGCTGGAGGGGCCTCGTTCACTCAGCTTCAACCCCGGATCCTCCTGGATCTGGCCTGTGATCTCGCCCATTGAGCCGGATATCCCATCTGATGAGTAGCCCGTGTCACTGAGGCTCTGTGTGCTGGACTTGTTGGAATCCTGAAGGAAAGAGAGAAAAAAAGAGAGAGGTCAGAGGCCAGTATTAGCATCAGTCCTTTTTCCCCCTGACTTAATTTATTTCTATAGCAAAAAGTATATTACAGGCATCAGTGCACCCTTTCTTTCCTATCGTTTCACTTAACTCATCAGTAGTGTCACTTTTATGAGCATTTGTTTCACAGATGATAGGGGTTGGAATTAAAGCACTATAACTTATACAGGCTATATTACTATTCTGGCAAGACATTAGACAATAATTACATTGAAAGGAATTCAGTCATCAAAGCACATGCAACTATAACAGATAATGTAATACATTCAGTGCCGTGGAAAAGTATTTGCCCCCTTTCTGGTTTTCTCTATTTTTGCATATATTTGATACTGAATATTATCAGATCTTCAACCAACACCTAATATTAGAAAAAGGGAACCTGAAATTACAAATAACAAAACACATTTTTACCTATTATATCTATTTAATTAACAAAGTTATGCAACACCCAATTCCCCTATGTAAAGAAGTAACTGCCACCTTACACTCAATAACTGGTTGTGCCACCTCTAGCTGCAATGACTGCAACCAAATGCTTCCTGTAGTTGTTGATCAGTCTCTCACATCGCTGTGGAGGAATTTTGGCCCACCCTTGCATACAGAACTGCTTTAACTCAGCAACATTTGTGGGTTTTTAAGCATGAACTGCTCGTTTCAAGTCCTGCCACAACATCTCAATTGGGATTATGTCTGGACTTTGACTGGGCCATTCCAAAACTTCAAATTTGTTGCTTTTTAACCATTTTAATGTAGACTTGATTGTGTGTTTTGGATCATTGTCTTGCTGCATGACCCAGCAGCGCTTCAGCTTCAGCTCACAGACGGATGGCCTGACATTCTCCTGTAGAATTATTTGATGCAGAAGAATTCATGGTTCCTTCTATTAAGGCAAGTCGTCCAGGTCCTGAGGCAGCAAAGCATCCCCAAACCATCACACTACCACCACCATGCTTGACCGTTGATATAAGATTCTTACTGTGGAATACAGTGTTTGGTTTTCGCCAGGCATAATGACACTAATGTCGTCCAAAAAGTTATACTTTTGACTCATCTGTCCATTGAACATTCTTCCAAGAGTCTTGATGATCATCCAGGTGCTTCCAGGTGCTTTTTGGCAAACTTGAGTCAACTTTTTGGACGAGATGGGTCCCATTATGTCTGGCGAAAACTAAACACTGCATTCCTTTGTTAATAAAATAAATAAAATAAGTATCTTTTTTTTTGTTTTTTGTAAACTCAGGTTCACTTTATCTATTATTAGGTTTTGGTTGAAGATCTGATAACATTCAGTATAAAAAATAAGCAAAAATAGAGAAAATCAGAAAGGGGGCAAATACTTTTTCACGGCACTGTATACATATGACTAAATAAAAAGCTTGCGATAAAAGGTGACAGAAAACGACAAACAACAATACAACACAAAGACAAAACATGATTTTTGGTTACATGCTTGTATAATACATTTTCCAATGCAATCACTGCAATACAGTTGAAGAATGATAGAAAATAATGAACAAGTTGATCAAAATATAATGATTAAGTTAAAAAACAGTGAATTGCATGTTAATAACACTGACTAATCATGATTGCAATGCCAGAGATAAGGACGACCATATTAAAGATAACACAGGCTTAACATTATGATTGATTAAAAAAAAGCTGGTGCATGGTAAACCGCTGATGCTTGGGGATAGAGATGACGAGGAGGACGGGATAAGAATAATGATGATGATGATGATGATGATGATGGTGATGATAGCAGTGGTGGTCATTTTCATTTGAGTCATTTAGTTGACACTCTTATCCAGAGCGACTTACAGGAGCAATTAGGGTTAAGGGCACACCGGCAGATTTGTTTCACCTAGTGGGCTCGGGGATTGGAACCAGCGAACCTTTGGTTACTGGCCCAACACTCTAACCGCTAGACTACCTGCCGCCTCCTATTTTATATAATGTAATGATCATAGTGATGATGATGATGATGATGATGATGATGATGATGATGATAGTAGTGCTGAGTGATTAACCGGTTATTAAAAAACAAATTGACCCGAAGTCGGTTCAATTACTTGAATTCCATTTAGTTTTTTTTTTTTTGTGAGCCCAACGTGCTATTTCTCCAGAGAGAAATCAAATCATTCACGAGATAAATCAACTCAAGAACTAAGTGGGACGCTGAGCTGAAGGGAGTTGTAGTTTTCACTAACCAAATATTCAACATAGTTCAGCACAGAAACATGGTAATTAACAACAATGGCCATAATCCACTGCGTCTGTTCTTTCCGGCTCAGACAAAGATGGATACACTTTTACACCTGCTACGTTAGGTTAGATACACAGACTGCATAGACCCCATGAGATAGGAATGAACACAACACAACAATGAGAGAAAACTAGTCAAATGATTTAGTCAGACAGTTCTACAGCATACTTAGGCAGGCTAGCTTAAATAGGATGACTAAAGATAGTACAGTATGGGGAGCACAGAGATAATGTTGTCTGGCTGGCTGGCTGCTACTGCCTTAGCAGAGATGAGATGATGACTTTAAGGAATGAAAAATAATAAAGTCATCAAATAAAAACTACGTAATATACGCAACTGAAATATTTTATTATTTCATAGTAATTTCCTATTTTTCTATTGATGTCTACCCAATGTGGACCTGACCGAGACAATGGAATATTTTAAATGTTTTAGCAATTGAATGTTCACAATTTTTGGCTTTGGAATTTCCATTAAAAAGCTCTAAAATCATTTTAATGTAATTATTTCATAATGCATTTAATGTAAAAAATATATATAATAACCGAAAATCGAAAACCGTGACAATTTTTCTATAATCGAACCGAAACCGAACCGACCTCAGAAAGCACTATTCGCTCAGCACTAGATTATAGACAGAGAAAGAAATTATTCAATTTATGGAAACATTTCATGATGAAGATGATGACATTGATGATTAAGATGATGATGATGATGATGTTGAAGATGATGATGATGAAGATGATGATGAAGATGATGATGAAGATGATGATGAAGATGATGTTGAAAATGATGATGATGATGAAGAAGAAGAATATGATGATGAAGATGATGATGATGATTATGATGATGATGATGATGATGATGATGATGATGATGATGATGATGATGATGATGATGATGATGATGACGACGACGACGACACCGGCGACAACTGACAAGAATGACTGAAATTAAGGTAAATACAATTCTGGTGGTAAATCAAGAACAGTAACAGTGTGTAAAGACGTTGAAGTTGCAAAGTTGCAGGTCGCTCACGTCATGATGTTTTGACTTCTGCGAGTCTTCAGCAGATTTCTTCTTTTCTTCTTTTGATGTGGTGATGGTCTCAGGTGCTCCCTTCTTAGGTGAGGCTTTGACTTCTGCTTCCTTTTGAGTTTTGGGGGCGATTTTAGTTTTCTCCTGGCCCTGCTGCTGTTTACCAGACTGCTTGTTGGGTCCACTCTGGTTGGGTTTAGGTTGGGTAGGTGCACACTTAGCAGGAGAGGGTGCACCCTTGTTAGGGGTGGATGCAGCTTTAGCATGGGAGGGTGCGCCCTTGGCTGGGGAGGGCTGGGCAGGACCCTTACTCTGGGTGGTGGGTCCTGTCTGTTTGGCAGGGGAGGGTGCGCCCTTAGCAGGGGAAGGCTGGGCTGTTTTAGCAGGGGATGGTGCACCCTTAGCAGGGGAGGGTTGTGCCTTGGCAGGGGACGGTTGAGCAGGCCCCTTGCTTTGGGCGGTGGGCCCTGCCTGTTTGGCAGGGGAGAAAGGAGGGCCACTTACTTGGGCACCCGGTGGTTTCTGTTGCTGTTGAGAACCAGTGGGCCGTAGCCCTGCCTGCTGATTGGGCCCTCTCTGTTGAGGCTGTGGTTGATTGGCTGGAGCTGGGTGCCGTGGGGATCCCATTGGCTGAGGAGCAGGAAGTGGAGTGTCTCCCAGGGCCCCAGACAAAGCTCTCTGGGTCTGGCAGTTCAGGCAGAGCCATTCTTTATTCTGAAACACAGACAGAACAAAAAGTGACCTTTAGAAAACTGCAATGGACAGGATTGTATAAAAACAAACTAAAGATTATTCAACAATGATCATTCAAGAAAGGACAATAACATTGTCAGTCACAGAACATTTACAGTCAAGAAACAATTCATAAAGTTAAGAAGAAACAACATCAACAAAATATTTGTTGGTATGGTTTAAAATATATATATATGCTGTTCACATTGATACTCTCCATTGACTTTATCATACCATAGTGAAACATAATGGGGTAGAAGCTGGACAAGGTAAAAGTACGCTTGAGTAACATTGAGATAAAAGAGGACAGGAATAGCTAGCTGTCTGCACTGCCACTGTGCTCACAGCAGCACTTATAAATGAAGCATGTCCTCGTAACCGAAAAAAAATATATCAAAACACGACTCCCCCATAAATCAGCTGTCTGGTAGAAGGTTTAGGCAGCTAATTTACACTGCTGCTAAGTCCCAAATGGTACCTTATTTCTTATATAGTGTACTACTTCTGGTCAAAAGTAATTCTTCTTTCATATGGCTGTAATATACTGTAGAAACAATGTGGTCAGGCTAAGCAGTAAGTAGTGTACATGGAGACTACAGTGGTGGCAGAGAGCCAAGGCTTTTAACAGAGAGTGTGCTGACTCTGAACACAGGGGACTTGTTTAACATTGACCTTTATGTTGATATGAGAGTCAACACACATGGAGAAAGATTGGTTACTCTTGCTAAAAATGGATTCGGTAAAGAGGGAGTGAGAGTATAAAAAACTAAGAGCATCTTTGGGTATCATAACTTAATTAAAGAAATACCTTTTTGGATTAATAAAGAAAATAAATAGCCACCCTCTCACACCATATGGCCAAAGACCAGCATAATAAAGATTAATGAAAAGGATCAGAACTTCTTCAGATTGTGATAAATTGGCCTCAGATTAAAACAAGCAGGCAGTGGATAAAGTCTCTGTTCAAGAAAGATGTTCCTTCCTAGATTTTGAACAAACTATCTATGATATATCTATGAAGAAGCTTGTTTGAGGTCAGATCAGGTATTTCAAGCACAGCAGCGGCCCTTGACAGGTTAGGTCAGAGCTGGCTAAAGGACTCAGTCAAACCCCTGTAGTTGTTTAAGTCAACCTTTTCATCTGCATGAGAAGGCTTGATCCCCAGACAATGTTAAGCGCTTTGAAGCACATAGGAGGATGCCGCTGTATGAATACAAATCAGCACTATGGTTATTAGTGTTGAGACACACAGAGACCCAACTGTGTTATTAGTTCCACAGTCAACTGTTCAGATGTAATCAGTCCTTCACGGAGCAGATAACACTCATCAACAGAGAGTTAGATACAGACTGTCACCCCTCACATTCAATCAACAGAGGGTACATCCAAAATGGCACCCTATTCCTATATAGTGCGCTACTTTTGACCTGATTCCTATGGGCCCTGGTCAAATGTAGTTCACTATTTAAGGAATAGGTTGCCATTTTGGACGCAACTAGAGTTAGACACAAGGTCTTACCCCTCACATTCATACTCTCCAGTGCACTGCCACCACAACTCTATGGAGGTATTGATTATGTCAACACCCATCAAAGCCAGGATATTAGCAGAAACAGATTCCATTTCAGATTCATAGAGCTGATCAATGAGACAGAACTACGGTGTCCATAATAGGACAGCCTTAGTCTCAGCAGGAGTTGTTATATTCTCAGATCAATGGAAAATTAAAATGCTTCTATTACCAGGTTATGAAAAGTACAAAGCGAAATGGTGGCACCATGTTTGTAGCCCAGGGCCCGTATTCACAAAGCGATCTAGGATCAGGCCCCTCCCTCCCTGTCCATGAAATCTTATTCATTAATGATTTAAAAGGCAAAACTGATCCTAGATAGCCACACTACTCTTCGAGGCCTTGTGAAGCTGGGCCCAGAGCCTCAAGGCATGGAGAAATGGCATCTGTGTGTAATGTTTATTGTTGGCGTCAAGGCGATAACAAATAACCTCATCAACACCTCTATAGCCAATTACCATCGGTACCACTGTACCATAGAGCCTATCTTCATCCTGTGTCCATATTAGGACACCCTTCTTTATTGTTATGATGCCTTAATTTAACCTCAGAGGATGAAATAAAGACTACAATAGACTACAAAACAGTGCCACGGCATAAAGCTCATAAAGGAAAGCACAACACAGGTGTTAAATGATCCCATCGTAGAGTAGAGGACACCACTGCTACGCTCCCATAATTCACTGCGGTATATTTTCGATGTCATTTTTTAGCACCGCCAAAAATGTGTTTGGATTTTGGTTACACTCCAGAATTGAGTGTGCAGTAGCAGCATGAGGAATAGCAAGTTATAAGTGAGTTACTCTACCAGCAACCTGCTCACTGCACAAAATGTATAAAGACAGCGTGTTTATGTTACAGGGAGGGAGGAGATAAGGGAATAGAATTGATCATGAAAAAAGAGAGAGAACGAGCGCGCTAACGCTCCACATTCAGGGAATTAATTTAGTCACTTTGTCTGTGTGTCTGGGCCGTGGCCCCTGGAGGCTCCTGACAAACAGACAGCGTGATATGGATGTTAATCTGAGGGCCCCAGAGAACAGCATTTGACAGGTACAGTCTCTCCAGCGATAAGGCCTGGGAGTGCCACTCACTCTCTCCACTCTTCAGCTCCTCTGCCTTGGCCTTCTCATCGGATGAAAGTGAATTAGTGAATGTGATTGTGTAAATACAACTGTGTGAGGGTGTGTGACTGCTTTTTTGGGTGTCAGTGTGTGTAAGGGTTTATCAGTCAATGTACACCTGTACTGTAAATGTGCAAGTGTGGGACTGTACTGTCGGTGCATGAACAGTCATTGTTAATTGGTTAGAGCTGTGTTAACCTCATCCCCAGAAAAGAATTGCAGGCGCATAGAACCTGGTAACACTGTGCAACAAAGTGGGACTTGAAAGGGGTGTGGTTAAAATCGAGGCAGGAGAGGGAGCGAGCCTGCTACAGCTGTATTAGATGGGACTTTGAAATATGGCGAAAATCGCCAATCAAAATAAATGTTCTATCACAATGGCCATATTCGTTTTGGGAAGCCCAATTGCTTCTGAGTTCGGGCATATAAAGTGTTTGTGTCAAAGCTATTTCTAAGATTCATACGTTCAGATTTTCTGAACTCACTTCCTTAAATCACTTGCGCTGCTCGCGCTTTGAAGTCTGCAACGTCGGAGGAACGTTCTAAGGGTTATGCTAGATGGTGATGGACTGAGAGATCAGCCAATTAAAACCAGCGGTTGTTGCGTCCGCTCCTGCCGTAGACTTCCAGTCAAGTCCCGTTCTGAGGCGCTATGAAACCAGACGGTTCGAGAGAGCCGGCAGGTGGACAACATTAGAGCTGTGTGTGTGTGTGATTCCTTGTTTGTGTTCTCCAGTATGGGCTCATTAGTAACCCTGTGTGCCCCCAGGGGGGAGCTGCCCTGCTCTGCTATGGTTGTGTAACATCATGAGGTGTAGAAACACTGACGTGGACCTGAGCACCACACACCGCTCTCTCAAACATATCTGGCACACCTTACCAACCACACAGAGACTTACACATATAGTAGAGGCATGCCGATGGATTTTAAAAGCTAATATCACTACATGCACAGGAATGAAGAAGCAATGGCAAGGAGGTACCGTACGTTTATTATGTTCAGAGATGACTGCACACACCAAATGATGCAGAGTGAGCGCATCCATCTTCCTACCAATCAGAATGTAGTCGACCATAAAACAATAATTGCACAAACCACCTAGCTACCCAACCCCAACAAATCAGAATGTTATTAACAATTGATGTGAACTGTACAGATAGGACTAGCCTATTTATGATTATGGCCTAAACTAAACCTAAACTATACATCCTAGTAATGGTGATGGTAACAGCATGTTTTCCATGGTTGGTAATGGTTTCATTAGGGACAGTGTGCAACATGGCTGCTAATGATCTAGGCAGATACATCGTTTAGACATGATGTATAGAACCATTAGAGATATGAAAAGAAACACTACATCAGCATTATGCTGTTACCGACTACCATGTGTACCATGTCCATATTAGGACACCTAACAGTAACTGGATAATCAGTCGATGGCGTTATGGAGCTGGGAAGCAGTTCTGACGGTAGCCAATTTTATGGTGTACATATTAGGATAGCCTCAGTCTCCGTCCTGCTCAGTCCTGCTGAGACTGAGGCTATCATAATATGGACACCGTTCATTTGGCTTCCATCAGATCTAGAGGGTTTCAGACCGCATTTTGATCTAAGTGGGCAGTTGGAAAATGCAATTTTCTCCAGCTGGGAAGGAGATAAAAAAGGAAGTTGTCAAAGGTTTGGCGAGAGAGAGGAAAAAATGAAAGAGTCTGTACTTTTCAAGGACGAAGGTATCATATTCCTGCACACGGCTCTTCTGATATTGAAAGTCCATTAGACACTCACAATAACAGCCACCAAACCTGACCAATCAACATTTCCGATACAGAGTCTGTGTCCAAAAGTGCACCCTATTCCCTATGTAGAGTACCGTGCTGTGGTCAAAAGTAGTACCCTACATAGGGTATGTGCCATTTCAGACGCATCCCACCAGCAAACACAATCAAATGGCCAACAACACAACCAAGGAGAGAGATGGAGGGGTTATAGTTCATCCTGTATTACATAAGCAGCAGAGAGTAACCACAGCACCCTGTGAGCCAGATAATGCCTTCACTAATTCTGCCCAAATCCTGCAGAATTTATACTGAACAAAAATATAAACGCAACATGCAACAATTTCAAAGATTTTACTGAGTTGCAGTTCATATAAGGAAATCAGTCAATTGAAATGAATTCATTAGGTCCTAATCTATGGATTCCACATGACTGTGAATACAGATATGCATCTGTTGGTCAGTATCTGATGTGACCACCATTTGCTTCATGCAGCATGACACATCTCCTTCACAAAGAGTTGATCAGGCTGTTGACTGTGGCCTGTGGAATGTTGTCCCACTCCTCTTCAACGGCTGTGTGAAGTCACTGGATCTTAGCGGGAGCTGGAACATGCTGTCATACACTCCGATCCATAGCATCCCAAACATGCTCAATGGGTGACATGTCTGGTGAGTATGCAGGCCATGAAAGAACTGGGACATTTTCAACATCCAGGAATTGTGTACAGATCCTTGCGACATGGGGCTGTGCATTATCATGCTGAAACATGAGGTGATGGCGGCGGATGAATGGCAGGACAATGGGCCTCAGGATCTCGTCATGGTAGCTCTGTGCATTCTAATTGCCATCGATAAAATGCAATTGTGTTCATTGTCCGTAGCTTATGCCTGCCCATACCATAACCCCAACACCACCATGAGGTACTCTGTTCACAATGTTGACATCAGCAAACCGCTCGACCACACAACGCCATACACTTGGTCTGCGGTTGTGAGGCCGGTTGGACGTACAGACAAATTCTCTAAAACAACGTTGGAGGTGGCTTATGGTAGAGAAATGTACATTGAATTCTCTGGCAACAGCTCTGGTGGACATTCCTGCAGTCAACATGTCAATTGCACACGCCCTCAAAACTTTAGACATCTGTGGCATTGTGTTGTGGGAAAAACTGCACATTTTAGAGTGGCCTTTTATTGTCCCTAGCACAAGGTGCACCTGTGTAATGATCATGCTGTTTAATCAGCTTCTTGATATGCTGCACCTGTCAGGTAGATGGATTATCTTGGCAAAGCAGAAATGCTCACTAACAGGGATGTAAACACATTTGTGCACAAAACTTCAGATAAATAAGCTTTTTGTGCTTATGGAACATTTCTGGGATCTTTTATTTCAGCTCATGAAACATGGCACCAACACTTTACATGTTGTGTTTATATTTTTGTTCAGTGTAGTTGGCTGTTGAAGCGAGACGGCGAAGGAGTGTGTAGGGAGTCATTGGCATGCCAAACAAACAAAACACACTTAGTTTTTCTCTGCCTCAAGTGCTCTACTGAGGTTCTAAATATAAACAGGTGTAGACAGGGCTCTCAGAACTAACCATCTGTGCAGTTTGCTTTTATGTGGAAAACCTAAATGAGAAGGAAAATGTGGGATATGGTCAGAATGTGCGTGTGATGGGTTTGTGTTGGTGTGGGTGTGAGAGATCAGAGGTTTGTGTTGGTGTGGGTGTGAGAGGTCAGATGTTTGTGTTGGTGTGGGAGGTCAGAGGTTTGTGTTGGTATGGGTGTGGGAGGTCAGAGGTTTGTGTTGGTGTGGGTGTGAGAGGTCAGAGGTTTGTGTTGGTGTGGGAGGTCAGAGGTTTGTGTTGGTGTGGGTGTGGGAGGTCAGAGGTTTGTGTTGGTGTGGGTGTGGGAGGTCAGAGGTTTGTGTTGGTGTGGGAGGTCAGAGGTTTGTGTTGGTGTTGGAGGTCAGAGGTTTGTGTTGGTGTGGGAGGTCAGAGGTTTGTGTTGGTGTGGGTGTGAGAGGTCAGAGGTTTGTGTTGGTGTGGGAGGTCAGAGATTTGTGTTGGTGTGGGTATGGGTGTGGGTGTGAGAGGTCAGAGGTTTGTGTTGGTGTGAGAGGTCAGAGGTTTGTGTTGGTGTGAGAGGTCAGAGGGAAAGGGAAAAGGGAGGCAGGTAAAATTATTTACATATTTTGAATAATACACATTACACACTCAGACTCCACACCCACACATGCATATTCAGACTCCACACCCATACATGCATATTCAGACTCACTCAACCATCCTAACACAGTAACATGTCACACAAACATGTGGAGTCCACATGCCCTGGTCCCTGTGGACTGAAATGTCAGCTGGAAGACTCCCATCCATCAACTACAGGCCTATCAATGGCTGACACGCAAACAGCAGAATGTCCCTTCAGCCTTTTGGGGCTGCATTCATAAAGAGGATGCTAACGTAAAATGCTAATATGGGATGCTAATAGCATTTGAGCAGCTCGCTTCCTGTCACACGTTTGTGCTGCCAAATGTCGCTCTCTCGTGCTCCTTTACTGAATCAGCGTAATGTCACTGTGTTGGAGACAGAGGGGGAAGGAGGGTAGAGAGAGAGACACACATAGAGAGGGGAGAGAGAGAGAATGAGAGAGAGAGAGAGAGAGAGAGAGAGAGAGAGAGAGAGAGAGAGAGAGAGAGAGACAGAGACAGAGACAGAGACAGAGACAGAGACAGAGACAGAGACAGAGACAGAGACAGAGACAGAGACAGAGACAGAGACAGAGACTGAGAGAGAGAGAGAGACAGAGAGGAGAGAGGAGAGAGGAGAGAGAAGAGAGGAGAGAGGAGAGAGAAAGAGGATAGAAAGAGCAAGAGAGAGAGAAAATAGAGAAAGAAAATTGTGAGGGGAAAGAGAGAGAGAGGGAGTAGAGGGAGAGAGAGAACATAGCCAAACCAGAGGGCTGAGAAGGTAAAGGAGAATTGTTTATGTAGAGAGCGCTTTGGCTTTTACAGCAGTGTAAATCTCTCTCTCTCTCTGTGTCTAACCCACACCATCAGTCCCTGTGTAGAAGGATAATAGGTCCCATTTAGGAGATTGCGCCTTTGGGCTTCTGAGACATCCAGGCATTCGTGGAACCAGTAAACACTTCCCCCAGAGCAGAACAAAGTACAGATTACTGCCCAATGTGACTGACCACCCCTCTCCTCTCCTCTTTCCATCTCTCTCCCATCTCTCCGTCTCCCCTCTCTCTTTTCTCTCCCCTTCCCTCCTCTCCTCTCCCATCTCTCCACTCTCTCCCCTCTCCCCACACACAGTCTGGATAAGACTAACACCAGCCTGCAACAACCTCATCAAATCAATGCAAAAACAGAATAGGATTTGTAAGCAAGATTATGAACAACAGGTCACTAGGTAACTGCTCCCATAGGGTAGGATGCTGTGTTGCTACAGAAAGTCTGTCAGTGAATGATGGCCTGGGTTTACAGGAAGAAGTAGCAAACTGAGGCACACACCCACACAACCCCCACCCACCCACACACCCACACAACCCCCATCCACCCACACACACACACAACCCCCATCCACCCACACACACACACAACCCCCACCCACCCACACACCCACACAACCCCCATCCACCCACACACCCACACAACCCCCATCCACCCACACACCACACAACCCCCACCACCCACACACCCACACAACCCCCCACCCACCCACACACCCACACAACCCCCATCCACCCACACACCCACACAACCCCCCCCCACCCACACACCCCACAACCCCCACCCACCCACACACCCCACACAACCCCCACCCACCCACACACCCACACAACCCCCACCCACCACACACCCACAACCCCCCACCCACACACCCACACAACCCCCATCCACCACACACCCACACAACCCCCATCCACCCACACACCCACAACCCCCACCCACCCACACACCCCACACAACCCCCACCCACCCACACACCCACACAACCCCCATCCACCCACACACCCACACAACCCCCATCCACCCACACACACACACAACCCCCATCCACCCACACACACACACAAAACAACACAGATGGTGCTGCCTGTCATACTGTGTTAGATCGACTTCCAATAACAACACAGGCAGTCCCAGACAGTAGAACACTGGAAACACTCCACCAGTTCACAAAGCACGACGACAACTGGGGAAAGCAATGGAGTCATATCTGTGTTGTTTAATGTGTAGCTACATCATTATGGGAATGAATTATGTCACTTACATAATGACACACACATCAAAGCCCAACCTACTCAATCACACCCACACACGTATCTTTATGCGGTTGCACCCCTGCATGTGTGTGTGTGTGTGCACATGAATGCAAGCATGTGTGTGCATGTATGCTCGTGCTTATGTGCCTGCATATGTGTGCGTGTGTCTCATTTGCATGTGTGTCTTGTGTGGTGGGCTAGCTCAGCTCGTTAGTGAGTTGTTAACCTCATTAAGCAGCAGGGAGTAGCAGCACAGGTCAGCTCATTAGAAAGCAATAGGCCCTCAAACACAATAACACACCCCCTTCCAGTTACAGTACCCTGGCTTTACATGGTGTGAAAATATACTGTAGTTACTGTACATGGGCTGACTGGCTGGCTGACCGACTGACTGACTAACTGGGTCTCAGGCCAATCACTGTGGCTATCCATCAGGCTAGGCAGGAAGTGAGTTGCCTTGACTTCCTGTTGACGTGGGCAGATGGATCTACCTCCTCCTGTGACCTCTGACCCTGACAGACGTGATGACGTGAGAAGGGAGGACAGAAGAGAAGGAGGATGAGGACGGCTAGGCTAGGGGGTGTCCTCTGGGGGGGGGGGGGGGGGGGGGGGGGGGGGGGGGGGGGGTAGGCTGGGAGTAGCGTGCCATTTGGAAACTGTAGAAGGTAAGACAAGTGCTGCCTTTAAATGGCTGATCTAGGATCAGCGACGAAAGAGAGATAGGTGTGTAGGAGTCGGTGTAGGATGAGGGTGGGAGGAGAGATGTAGGTTTCATGATGCACTTTGTTTCCACATAGAGATATACACTGAGTGTACAAAACATTAGGAACACCTTCCTACTATTGAGTTGCACCCCCTCTTTTTGCCCTCAGAACAGCCTCAATTCGTTGGGGTATGGACTCTACAAGGTGTTGAAAGCGTTCCACAGGGATGCTGGCCCATGTTAACTTCAATGCTTCCCACAGTTGTGTCAAGTTGGCTGGATGTCCTTTGGGTGGTGGACCATTCTTTATACACACAGGAAACTGTTGAGTGTGTAAAACCCAGCAGCGTTGCAGTTCTTGACACTCAAACCGGTGCGCCTGGCACCTACTACCATATCCCGTTCAAAGGCACTTAAATCTTTTGTCTTGCCCATTCAACCTCACACATACAAAATCCATGTCTCAATTGTCTCAAGGCTTAAAAATACTTATTTAACCTGTCTCCTCCCCTTCATCTACACTGAACACTGAACAGCTAATCATGGCTACCCGGACTATTTGCACTGCCCCCCCACCCCATCCTTTTTACGCTGCTGCTACTCTGTTAATTATTTATGCATAGTCACTTTAACTCTACCCACATGTACGTATTACCTCAACTACCTCAACTAGCCGGTGCCCCCGCACATTGACTCTGCAACGGTACCCCCCTGTATATATAGCCTCCCTACTGTCACTTTATTTTACTTCTGCTCTTTTTTTTTCTCAACACTTTTTTTGTTGTTGTTTTATTTTTACTTTTTTTGTTAAAAATAAATGCACTGTTGGTTAAGGGCTGTAAGTAAGCATTTCACTGTAATGTCTGCACCTGTTGTATTCGGCGCATGTGACCAATAACATTTGATTTGATTTGATTTGATGTAAGTGGATTTAACAAGTGACATCAATAAGGGATCATAGCTTTCACCTGGATTCACCAGATCAGTCTATGTCATGGGAAGAGCAGGTGTTCCTAATGTTTTGTACACTCAGGGTACAAGTAGAGTATCTATCACAGCCATAATGAATGGTTCTGGACATAAATAAATATAATTGGAGAAATAGAATTGTAGTTCTGGAAATTGTGAGTGAGCCACAGCAGGATGCTTAGTGGTTATACATTCTAATATTTTAATACTATGGATAGTGGCCCTTCCAGCCCGGCAGGGTCGGAGTTCAGTCCTTGGGGCCGGAAGAGCTAGTCTTTCCCTGCCAGCAATAATCAGGGGTTGAGAACAGCAGGTTATCAAAAGGAAAAAGGTCACCAGGATTGATCCACTCACACTCACAGTGGAACCTGCTTAGTCACTGAACTATTGAGTGTGTGTGTGCGTGCGTTCGCCTGCATGAGTGTGTATGTGTATGGGCACGTGCGTGCGTTTGCATGTTTATACATGTGTGTTTAAGACAGACACGGCAGCCAATAACCACCAGAAATGTAATCATAATGTCAACAACAAATGTGAAATGATGGAAGTGTGAAGCACAAATCAAGAGACTAGGGAAAGGGTACAGGAGGCTGTAGAAGCTTCAACACTTGTCACCTACGGAGGGAGCCAGAGAGAACACAGTCTCATCTGAATCATAGGAAGACTGGGAAATATACACAAACAGGAACGCAGACAGACAAACACACATACTGTGAATGACACATACATACACAGATCATCACAAACACACACAGGGGCCTGAGTGCACACACTTAATGTGTTGTGAAATCTGTTGTATGTGTATGTGAATGTATTGTAATGTTTTTAAAATTGTATAACTGCCTTAATTTTGCTGGACCCAGGGAAGAGTAGCTGCTGCCTTGGCAGGAACTAATGGGGATCCATAATAAAGAAAAATACATATACACACACACACACACACACACAGAGAGAGAGAGACACAAACAGGCACACATACACACACAGGCATAGAAATTGCTTGTTGACACATTTTCACATAGAAATTTGAGATTTATACAGATTAGGTGCAAATCAACAGATCTTCATAATGCCTAGAAAAGCCTATCAATTTAGCCTATCACAATGATATAATACTCCTACTCAGACCTGCACAGAATTTGTCACCAAATCTCAAACACACACATCAGATGTTCCCTATATAGTGCACTACTTTTGACCAGAACCTGGTCATTCACTATAAGGGAATAGGGTGTCATTTGGAACGCAGCCATCTAGGATAATCCTGCCAGATAATCAGTTCTCAGCAGGACCTTCTCTCCCACATGCTCTCTCTACTGGGTGTAGGAACACACACTGGGACCATGAAATGTCAGCCGTCATTAAATGCCAAAACACACCCCAGTGGCCAGGAATTTCTCAGGTGGTCATTGTCAATATGTATTCATCTCCTCTCTCTCTCGTTCTCTTTCTCACACACACTCTCCCTCTCTCTCGCTCTGTCACACACATACTCCCCCCCCCCCCCCCCCCCCCTCTCTTTCTCTCCATCTCTTTCTCTCTCTCTCTTCACACCTCTGGCCCCGCTCCTCATATCTTTCGGTCACTTGTCACTCACAAAAGTGTTAGCTTGACAGCTATTAATAACCACTTTCACCCCATTGAAACAGCTTTGTTCTTAATTCACCTGAGTTTCCTACAACAGCATTTTTCAAACCTCTCCTTGGGGACCCCCAGCCGTTCCATGTATTTGAACAATTCCAGAGATAGCACACCTGATTCAACCTGTCAGCTAATCATCAAGCCCTTGACTAGGTGGATCAGTTGAGCTAGTTCAGGGCTACAACAAAATTGTGAAACGCCTAGGGGCCCCTAAGGAGAGGTTTGAAAAGCACTGGCCTACAGCATGCCCTCTTTAAGGCACTGGTGTGCGTCTCAAATGGCACCCTATTCCCTATTGACGGGTTAGCTGAGAACGTCACGAAAACGATGCGCACGCTTCAATGGGCCAGAAGGCTGTGTGTTGTTGGGATTCTGGATGGCCAGATAGCTAGCAACAATGACAAGAAACTGCCATGTGGGGAATCGTAAGTGGCTCGTTTCAGTTAGTTTGATCTTGTTTTTGATAGCATGTCTTGTTTTGAGGTGCTTTGACTGATGTCACATCTATGCCAATATGGCTCAAATTCGCTAGCTAGCTAACCAACAACTGTAACAATGTATTTGAGAGACTCATTGTGCAACTTTATTTATCTTTTCAAGTATTTATGTTTTCAAACGAAATATAGTTTACATGTTGTCAACAGTTTAAGCCAACCCCGTCTGTTTTGACCCATAGCTGCACACTCGTTGGTTTTGTTGCTAAACCACCAACCCATCTATGTAATGCACTGGTCA